TGTCGTGTTGTCAACTAGGAAATCGTACTGGAATAGTACGTACAGACACCAAGTATCGATCCCTAGTAAGAAGTACGAGGAAACATCTTTCATCGGTAACTCTGGAGTTGATACTCAACACCGGCTGAGGTCTGAGCTTGCGAAGCGAGGCAGAGAAATGATAATAGGAGACCTCCAGGAAAGAAGAGTAGCAGTGATGTGAAGCGGCGGAGGCTGGAAGAAGTCTACGCCACGCCCTTCGAATCCTTGTAAACTTCAAGACCAAGATGACCGCACTTCGCCGACTTGACGAAACCATAACGGTTTTTCGTCCAATGAAAAAGGTCATCCATGACCTCCAATTGGATCTCTTTGACAGCCACATCCACCTGCCTTATAGATTCGGGGAGGACAATTGGTCGCACCTTTGGTTCTTCCTTCCGAAAATCGTCATGCTATCATGTCGAAGAAGAATCGTGCAGCGCCCCCACAGAATCAAGCCAGAACATCTGCGAAACATTTCGCCAACCCTCATCAGAGCTTTGGCAGGACTCTTCTGGTGGCATCTGAAGAGGCAAGGGCAGTCATTGAAAACCAGCAAGACTGTGTTGTTGTACACGAAGGAAAATCCTGCGACAATGGCAACTATCGCTACGTTTGCCTGTGCTCTCTTCTCACAAGGGAAGGACACTTGTTGACGGTGGCATCTCGCTCAAGCATGTGCATGTACGTTATTATGAACTTGCTTCTCTACCCTACAAATCTTATTCTCAAAGTGAGTTTGTGTAATTCCACCAAACACATTTATTTAACTTATGCTGACCATACTTCTAGATATCCAAGAAGCAAATTCAGGGGAGTCTAACCCTGGCACTAAGGTGGTTTTGCATCATGCGGTCTTTGTGATTAGCTTATTTGTGGTTAGTCTCTTTTCTTCTCCCTGCCGTCTAAGGCTGTTCGTGTAACTGTCGAAGGACAAATGCGAGAGGATATGCCTGAAACAATCTTCTCATCTTTTCCTACAATAATCCTTTTGTAGATTACAGTAAATCACATTTACACAAAAACAACAACTCGGATGGAGATTTCTTTATTTCTCGATTTCCAGTCCTCTCGATAGATTTGCCGCACTAATTGCACCCCGCCACATCGGTAAGTAAAAATGTTGGATATGCTTACAGTATCAGCGCTGGCTCATAATTTATATTTGGATCTTGCTGGAATTTATGGGAATAAAAGAAAATGCTGTGATATCTTGATGTGCAATTCCATGTTAATAGAAAAGTTGGGAGGTAAAACTATGATCGAAATCTTTACAATCGATCATGACTCCAAGTAGTGTAAGTGCTAGAGTGCTGCGAAGATGAAGCGCTACCGCATCGTGAGTGATGACGACAGTGATGATGATGATGATCTTTCTGACGAAGACATCGATAATTTGGAAGACATTGAAGAAAGTACTATTTCTAAATATTCAAGTGTTTTGGAAGTCTCTTATTTGATCGGTTCAATTATTGTTGATTGTTACGATTACACTGTAGATGTACATTCTCTATGCGGCACGCCTCAAAGTAGTCCTTACAAATTTTTCTGTCAAGCGTCCGCAGCTGATTGTAGATGCCTTACGGTACTAAGAGGTCCCTACAGGGCTCAAAGTAACGCCATCAGTACAAATAATTTCTTTCTCTAGGCACCCGCCATACTTGATCCCCTTAATCCTCTTGATCAGCATGCTCCTCTTCGTGCAAAACGTGCGTCACTGAGTTGTCATCTTGCGTCGCGTACAGCGAATTTGCGTAACCATACAAAATTCCTTTTTACCTACGCGGCGCCAAATGACAAACTGCTGTGTGCGCGCGGTTTGCACAAAGCGGATCAAGTGGATCAATCGGATCAAGCGGATTAAGAGGATCAAAAGGATCAAGTATGGCGGGTGCCTTATAGGCTCAAACTCTGCTTGGGCTGACGGAAAGGGGACAGCTTAGGGACTTCTTCATGTCTACGCTTTTCAGTTTTTCACTGCCCTTCTAGAATGTTCGGTACGTGCAGCGGTGCTGAGATTTTTGAAGTCTGATTCCAGCGGACGACCGGAGCGACAGATAGACGATGAGACAGCACCTTAAATACCCACAAGGGAATGGTACATGATAAGACAGCTCATGAAAGCCATTCGTTATCATCTTTTGTATTCTGGGAAGGTGGGAGCGGACAGGATATATGACCATATAATAACATTAAGTAAACTCAAAACTTTTGAATATGATGGAGTGTGCCTTTCTTGAATGTTGATGGATGCTGATTTTAACAAAACTCTAGGACTGTTTCCAGTTTCATAATAAAAGAAAAAAACAAAATATATATAATTTTCTCATTAACGCTCATGGTATTCCATATAGAATAATAATAATGAAAAATGTTGTTCTTACACTGAACACCAACTCTAACAGCAAACATCATGTAGTGCAAGCCCAGCCCAAGTAGATGAGCGGATGAATAATCCAACTTGCATGGATAATGTTTATGACTGCGGATTCAATAAAAAATTTGAGGAAGCTTTATAAAAGAAAAGCAAACGAACGATAAGCCTTAATTCAGGATTCCGAAGAGCGTAAGTGACTAGATTTATTAAAGTCGGGTAATCGCGAAGTCACAAGGTTAAGAACTAGAACATCGAAAATAAATTAACATCGATTCATTCACAATAATTGCACTTCATAAAAAACAACGCTGAAAGATTAACAAAGATTAAAGAGAATAAGGAAATCCCGTCAACATTCGTCCGACCTCAGACTGTGAAAAGAATGGGTATGAAATAGGTAAGTGAAAGACTTAGAGGTACATGTGAGGATCAACGCAGCTTGGATATATAGTGGAGACTATCATGTTTAGATCAGAATAAATACGTGGTATTTTGTGATTTATTGGCAGCGCGAATGTCAATGGAGCGGCGCGTGATGTCTATGCGTCGTATACGCGAAAGATGCCAGGCTCAGAGGCGCATATGTTATACTCACAGCGAGTTGCGTTCGACTATATTTAGTTCGAAACATGTGTAAATTATAGGTAAAGTACAAAACCGGCCAATCTAAGCTGCCTAAACATGGATATTCACATTATCTCGGCCTCTGTCGTTCTGCGCAGTTTTCCTAGCCGAAGAAATCAGATCCATGAAGACATTGACATGATATAAATACGAGAAATAATGACATAGTTTGGTTTTAAGCTGAATAAAGGCAGACTACGCAGAACAGTTGCATAAGCGTTCTCGCC